GAATATAATATTTCGTTGCAACAACATGGCCATGGCTTTTTAGATGTTTTAAGAATATTTCAAAAAGCACAACTTGGCGGTAGATAGCTACAAAAAAAGTTAACTAAAAAAAGAAAGAAATTCTTAACAAAGAAAAAAACTTAACTAAAACAAAATAAATTACATTTAGAATAAATTAATTCTAAACTTTTCTCTTTTGTAATTTTTATTATAAAATTAAGCAACACTTTTATAAAAAGTAAATACTTACTATTAATGATTGTTTAGTAAAGAAACAAACAATCAGTTTATCAATGTGTATAATATAATTTTTTATTTAAGTATTTTAATGTTATTTCAACAAGATTCTAATAAAACTAATGGTATTTGAATTATGTAATAAATAAAAAAGTAAATATATTTTTATAATCATTTCACGCTTTGCATAGTTTGCAATCTATAATATAAGTTTAAAATATTTAAAACATTTCTTGTTAAGTAAGATAACAAAAGAAATATTTAAATCGTTGCGTTACTGTCAAAATATTCTAACGACCTTTTCTTCTAGCAGAGTCTTAATAATTTAAAAAAATATATAATGATCAGTTTCCAAAATGCACACTTTGTATACATTGAATAACTTTTTACTTATATCCATCGGTTTATTTTACTATAATATATACATTTAAATTAATATATAAAAAGCAATATAAAAGGCACTTTGCTAATATTAAAACATTTGATTACAAAAGGTTATTTACAAATTTAATTGTTTTAGCGTATCAAAAAATTTCGGACATACATGAAAACATACATTAATTTAAATGTTCTCAAAACATCTTTAAAGCCAAGGCCAAGTTGTTGCAACTAAATAAAATTTGCTTGATCAAGAATAGAGTGCCATTGCACCCGTTTCCCGACCAAGCTTGATTATTAGAATGCACTTAATGATGCTCATGGAAATTCATTTTTCTATAAAAAAAAGGAAGTTTTAGTATAATGAAAAATGTAGAGATGTCAGGAATAGTGATTTAACTGAATACCGAATATTCAGCCAGGTGCTCAGCCCAAGCACCAAATATTCGATGATGCTTAGTTAATTTTGAATGTTCTGATCTGCTTAATTGAAGTGGATATGTTAACTAGACAGTGCGCATGTATGTTTCATTTGTGACTAGGCCGTGTCACAGCACACATTATATGTTGACTGTTACATCAAGTTTTAACTAAATTTATGTATAAAAGTACCATAATCTTCAAACCATTCAAATTGGTTGCTATTGATAGATATAGCACAAAGAACTTATTAAAAGTGATATCTTAATAACATCATGAACTTAGGGTTTAACTTATGGTTTAACTTTAATGTCAATTATACGGTATTCTTTTTTATTTATGAAAATTAATTTCAAGGTATTATTTAAAATACAACAAGCAAAACACCAAAAAAGTTTAAAAGTTTTGAGAAAAATTCAGTGAAAGGTTAATCCTTTTCAGTGAAAGGCTGCTTGACACCTATCAGTCATTACTGGTGCCTAAAAGCACCAGTGATGATTCATCTCCACGATTGCAAATTAAAATTAGTTGAAACTGTTTACATGAAACTGTTCGCTTATATTGGACAACAAACCCTAACAAGTTGTGTTCAGCAAGCGCAAAACATCATAACAGAATTACTGATTATCATAGTGGGCGACTCAAATAAGAATTAAAAACCATTTTCGGAGGGTACATCCCTGACTTGACATACTAGTCATTCCAAGCTTTTCTAATGCAAGTTTTCAGCTTCAATGTGTTTTCAAATTGCTTACCATTTTCATAAACTTTTCTAGAAAGTATCCTCCATAGATTTTCAATTTGGTTTAGATCTTGACTACATGTGGGCTACTCTATTATATAAATATTATTTTTCTCTTAACCAAGTTTTTGTAAGCTTTTAATTATGGATAGCAGCATTGTCTTGTCTAATTTCTAGTAAGTTATTGTAGTTCTGTGAATTTATTTTTGTTGAAATCTATGCCAGTGGAAGTTTACTAGTAAAATAAAAAGCCCCCCCCCCCCAAACCATAACATTTCTACCTCCAAAGTTATGAATCATCCAAGTTTCTACCTTTTTTTGAAGATTGTGCCAGTAATATTGATAATCATCTAACTTTTTTTTATCACTAAAGACATGTGTTCTTTTGCAAATGATTATCTAGCTTCTTTATGACAAACCATAAATTTTGGTTTTGGTTTAACCTTTTTTCAAACTACATTTGGATCTTCATGTAACATGAGTCACACACGTAGAACAGTTAATTATAAGTCAGTACAACTTTGAGATGATGTCATGTGCTGAGTAGCTGCACTACCTGCAATAGCTTTTTTAGAACAATTATCAACTTTACGTTTGCTTATTAACATTAGCTCCTTAATTAATGCTTATCTTGAAGTAAATATTAACCACTATTAGAGATTTTTAAATTTTCTTTTCGATTTTCCATTTATAAAAGCCTGTATATTGCATGCTTTGATAACAGCTATTTCTTCGTTTGTTAAATGTTACTATGTCTCATTTAACATTCAGGTATCAAAAACACAATTTTATGAGCACTTGTTTCACAGTCTTTTTTATTTTACAAATAAAATGAATAAATTAAGTCACAAATGTGAATCACCAGATCAGAATATACAAATAAATTGACAATAATTATTATTATGGCTGATTCTATTTGTTATAGAAAATATATTATACATTTTATTTTTTTATCAAATGTGCTACAATTCAATTATGCTATATTATAATCTAAAAAGTTATTATTTGAAGCAAAAATTGTATATGTGTGGATACAAAATATGTACCATACAAATTTGTTTGCACGCCATATGCTACGAAGTAAATATAAATGTGGTCATATGCTACGAAGGATGGTTCAAGTTATACACATTATTTAAAATGTGGACTCCACAACCCTAGATAATATGTTCCTTACATAATATGTTCATAACCCACAACCCTAGATAATATGTTCTATATTTGAAAATAATTTATTTTGATAATATTAATGACTCAATATATGTTCAAAAGTCTTGGTGGTGGTGGTGGTGGTGGTGATGGGGTGGGGGTGGGGGTGGGGGACCCTAAAAATATATTTTATTTAAAAGTTTTTGAATCCAGTTTCACTTCATTTTATGAAACACAGTAAATTAAATAAATTGATCATTAGATTTATCAAAATGACCAGTAATTAGATTTATCAAAATGACCAGAAATTAGATTTATCAAAATTTACCAGTTTTTTTATATCATTCATTAAAAATTATTATTCGTTCTAAAAAAATGATTAAGTAATCAATTCTAGTAAAAAAAATTAAAAAGACAACTAAAAAAGAAATTTTTATCATTCTATTAAGTATCATTGATAAAAACTTTAAATAGGGAGAAAATGCAGGAAGTGTACATATATCAGCTGACTTTAATAAGTAGAACATTGGTTGAGTGTACATACACTGAGGGTATGTATATTTCTGCTATTTATTTGACATTGGTAAGAAAGCCTTGCATGAGATTTGTAAATAATTGCGTGCTGCCTTGCAGCCTTTTACAAATCTTACCAAGTTTAACTTGCGCTCGAATTTCATTATTTGCTTTTTTTAAACATTATAAAACATATTTAAGTATTTCAAAATGTTTCCATGTATTCTGCAGTTCTACAGTTCCAATTTCCACCATTTTGAATAAAGATTTGATTAGTAAATTTATATTTGGAAATATTTATGTAACATTTTAAATATTACATAAATATTGAAAAAAAGATATTGTTATATTTCAAATATTATAATAATATTTGAAAAAAAAATTGTTATATTTTTAGTAGGATAGATTAGGATATGAGCACCTTGTGCAAATATCGAATATTTTCAAAAATAATTATGCTCAAAAATAATTATTTTCAAAAATAATTATGCATCCAAAATTTTTGCAAATAAACAATTTTTAGGGATCCCTACTCATGATCCACTTAGATATTTGGGCACCCAAAATTTTTTCTTAAAAACACAGACGTTTTAAAAAAGTAGCAAAAGTGCTTATATTACCCAGACCACTTGATAATATGAGCACTTTAAATGAGCTCAAAAAATAACATTATGTAAAAAAATACCAACCTGACAATTAGAACTAATTTTTGGAATATAATGATTTGTTATTAAACAAAACTTATCATTCGAAAATCAAATTTGAAGCCACTTTTTGTTGAAACAATACTACTATGTTTTCCGCAAAAAGAAGAAAAATTAGTTTGTTATTTTTTCAATTTTATTAAGTCAAACCTTTAAACGATAAAAACTCAAATTTTTTGAATTTAAACTATTAGAAAAATTATTAGTGTTGTTAAAATATTAAACTGTTTTGTTTTTATTCAAAAAGCAATTAAAACCACTGCTATTTTAGGACTTTCAAATTACCCAGTATTTTTCAATAAAAAATACTGGGTAATCTGAGCATGCTCATATTACACAAAAATGGTATCTTTAAATAAAATCAAAACTAAATGTTTTTATGCATTGTTTTTTAAACAAAAATGGATTGGATTTTTAGCTAACATATTTTTCTTTATGAAAAAATTAATTTCATAATTTTAGCACCAAATTTTCGCGCCACAGATTTATTAATGCATAGTGATATTATTTTAACCACACAAAAAAATTTAATAGCGTTTTAATTAGATGATAGCCACTAATTATTGCATATAAATTTACGCTAATTGTACTGATTCCTGTTAGCACCACATAAAGTCAAATCAAAAAAGAACAAAGCAACTTTAACTTCACTGCTTACATCTAAGAAATCTTTAAGTATGCTTATATTACCAAGGTGCTCATATTACCCTAATCTATCCTTCTATTTAATATATTTTTTTAAAATTTCTTATTATGTGTTTATTTACATTTATATTTGCAAGAGATAAAGTTTAATTCATTTTACTGTATACTCAGTCTACACAATTTATTTTTAAAACATTTTTTTTTAAATTTAGAACCTTTGTATCAAGTATACACAGCAAAAAAGTTGGAGGACGTTCACAGAAAAAGCAAAAAATCCAACTCAGATGATAGTTCGGATGAATATAAAAATCTATTCAAAAATTCCAAGTCTCCAATACGATTATTGTGGGCTGAAATTCCAGAAGTATTAAAAAGCGGAATATTAAATACTATTGAACCAAACGAAAGAAAAAGACAAGAGGTTACTATTAAATTAAAAAAAAATTATTGTTTAATAATTATTTTAATAATAATAATAATAATGCAGTAGTACTAGTAACAGTAACTAGCAGTATGCAACCCGTAATACGAGTTGTTAGTAAATAAATTATTAATAACACGGGTTAGTATCATTAATATCAATTTATTATTTTCTTTAAAAAATATAAATTTATTTTATATATTTTTAGTTCTGCTCACTTTTATTGTTCTTGGCTTCTTAACATAACTTTTAGCTTCATTTAAAGATACAATTAACGATTTATTTTGAAATGTTCGAACATTTTGCGCTAGTCACAACAAACTAAATATTTTATGACTTAAACTATATGCATAGAAAATTATCCATGCCTTATTTTAAAATTGCGGAAAATTGTTTAGGTAACTAAGTTGTTTATAATTCTTTTTTTATAAAAAGAATTTTTCTTAATTTTTATAAAAGTGATGGAGCTTAAAAAACAAATATCACAAAAATTTTACCTAAATTTATACGTATAAAAATTGTTTTGGATATCCGGAAAGACTACAACTTAAAAAATATATCAGAAATTACGGAAAAAACTAATCACTGTATACGGCTCCCATAATATTAATGCTTATTACTTTAGCTTTCAAAATACGGTAAGCGAATATATCTATTTAGTTAACGTATATTAACATATTTCAGCATTCATCCCATCCAAATTTATACTAACGCAGTAAATATTTAGCGAAAGTCAGGAATATATTTCGCCTTGAGTTTGTCTTATCTTTTTATTATATTTTGTATAGGTCAGGTGAAATAAAAACAATTGCTTTTAATCAGCATTTTTGAAGTAATTGTTACGCTTTAAGCGAATACAAATTTTTAACTTAGCTGAATTAACTTAGGTGACTTACTTAACCTACGTGAATACAAACTTTTAACCTACCTACCCAATATTTTATGATTTTTTTTATTTATTTAGTGTCTCCTTTCTTATATAATTGACCCACAGCCCTTTCATCACATAATCACCATTTGCAGACCCCCTCTACCTATCAGAGTATTTTATGGACGATCCCTAATGAGCTAAAAAGGTTATAAAACAGATGTTAAAACCATATAAAACAGTTGTAAAAATATACATATATATATATATATATATTTAAACTTGTGTTCACTTTTTGAAAATTCAGTAAAAAAGCGAGTCATATGATTACATATCTTTAAAACAAATTTATTTACATGATATATAGTTAAATATGTAACAAAAATATTAAAAAAAAATCCTATATAAAACACATTTTTCTTAAAAAACAGTTAACGTTGAAGGCACTTTTCAAAATCAGTTATAACAGCTGCCATCTACAGGACTGAAGAGCCAAGCATAGCCTATTGTACATAAAACCATATTAAAATAATTAGAAATATTTATTTCTTATAGGGACGACAATTAAATATATAATATTAAAAAAATTATGTGATTCCATATTAGTAGGAAGTATATATTATAGTAAAGTAAACAATTAAAAAAAAAGAACAGATTTTTACAAATTACATTATACATATTTTAATACCTTTTTAAAGAGAAGCATAACACTTAAGAAAAGAGAAGCATAAACTAAGAATTTTTAAAGGGAAGCATAACACTTTAAACTAAGAAAAATAGAGAAGCAAAATCTTTTTTTCTCAACAACAACTTCCAATAAAAGTTTTTTCATTTTTTCTGTTACTTTTTCTAAGAGGAAATATAGCTATTAGTACAGAGAAGTATAAAATATACTGAAATGTAAATGTATAACAGTCTGAAATTTTTTATGTTAAATACTTAAACGAAGTTCCAACTAAAATTAAAACTGATTTGTAAACTTACCCAAATCAATATCAGTTTGACATTTTTAAAAAACGTTGTTATAATTAACCCTTCTAATAACAAAAACAACAATAATGTGTATTGAAGTAACTAAAAAGCACTAAAAAATAATGTTAAACTTGCTTAGCTAGTTGTTTAAAATTCTGTGCTACTATGTAAAAAGCTGATTACAGTTTTACAAAATTACCACTAACAATAGCTAATGAGTGCAAACAGAACAATATATAGGATAATAAGAAAAAAATGAAACCTATATACAAAAACACATTAAAAACAAAGTTTTAGTTGTAAAAAGCGTGTTTATTGAATCTCAATAAAAACCGCATTATAAGTAAAAAAATTAAAGTTTAATAAAAATCAAAATATGCTTTCATAAAAATATGTTTATTAAATATGGGAAAGTTTGAAAAAAATTGAATCAATTTTAACTTGAAAAATCAGAAAATCAAACAAAATTATAGAATGTATACATATATATGTATATATATCAACCCTCGAAATTAAGGTCGGCATTCGGCAATGCAAACTTAAATGTGTATAAAGTCAGCAAAAAAGCACAGACGTCATTTCGATATCTTACGAAAACTTCTTTGTGTCAATTGTTATTGCCAATTTTAAACAGTTAAGGGTGGCAATAGCCGACCTGTTTTTTTCAAGGGCTAATATATATACATAATTTTTTTTTTTTTTAACGAAAAAAAATCTAAATGATGGGTGGTCTGACCCCTCATACTGCACCCATTTTTAGAATGATTTTTGGGTCAAAAGACCAGGCTTGCTTAATCGATAATGCTTGTAATTTTCATATGTAAGTTCTAAAAATAAAAATTAATTTATACTTTAATAAATTTAACTGAAGAAGCATTATTAGAATAAAGAAAATGTTCTCCATCTTTTTTTTTTAATTCTTTTATTTATAGTCAAGTCTTTACTTCATTAAAGCAGATAATATTATTGTAAGTATGAATTTAGAATTACCGTTTAGGGCTTTAGCTTGTATATCTAAACATAATAAACATATATCTACAGATTTGTCTTCCTTGTTAAAAGATAAATAAAAACACTTAGAAAAGATAATAAAATAATAAAATTTCACCATTGGAAGATTTGTTTGTTGACAATTCATCTAGATATGTTATAAAAATGTTATTCTTAAAAAATATGGAAACAGTATGTACAACTTACCAACTCGCCTTTGCAGAAGAACTTAAAAATAAAACTTGAAAATTTAATATAATTTCTTAAATATATATTGCCATAGCATCTTCAAAGTTTTCATTTAAAGCTCTAGGACTTCCTACATAAGATGATGGCAAAACAACTACTCGCCCTGGTCTAACATTACGTTCAATTGCAATGTTGTTAACATGCATCTACAGCATATTGCTGAAATAGTTTCTTGCCATAAAATAATGAACAGAAAAATTGCCTAACAGAAAGTCTATAATTGTAGAACTGAGATAATGTAACATGATTTCTAACCAGTGTGGCACGCTCAGGGTTTTGCACTAACTGATTATGCCAACCAGCATCACCTCCCTGGGAAAAAGAGAGGATAAATCATAGGATCTAAGTTGGCTGACATACTGGATACAATTTTTTAAGGCTGACCTCTTGGGTAAATAACAACTTCCCTGGAAGTTGGGGGAGCACCATCTTCGCCAACAAATACAACTAGAACTTCATCGTGTGAAGGTAGATTATAGCGACGTCTATCACCCCCTTTAAGTAAAGACATTTTTACAACAGAAGCTGAGCGACCTAAAGCTGCTTGACGAATTTCTTCATCTTCTACTTCCGCCATGTTTTTAAAAGCAAGAGCAAATGGACTTTGTTCAGTAATTATAGTTTGCAATTGAAACATTAAATCACGTAAACAAAGATCATTACCACGTTGTTGCATTCTAAAATTTACTGCTGCAAGTGGATCATATTTATATAGTTGAGAATATATTGGTGGAATATCTTGATCTGGCCTAAGATTACCTACACGATGATAAATCTGACCACATATTTTAATACATGGAGGCCCATGATTTATTGGTTGAACTACATTTGCTTTAAAAGAAGTGAAAGAAAGACATGCATTATAATTTCGAATATGTTTTAAAAAATTACCATTAGCATTACGATCTACATAACTCCCTGTAAATAAATCCTGTAAAACTTGTGTTTATGGTGAAAGTGGAGGTAAAGCTACCTTACCATTATGGCAACATAGAAAATGTGTTTCATCTGGAAATTTCTTAGCCCCACAGTGCTGACAAATTTGATTCATTTCTCCTAAATAATTACAATCTGGAATAGCATTACCTCTTGCTATAGAATACATTCTTCCTGGTCTAGCAGCATTTCTAACATTTTAGCGAAGATTAATTTTATCTCTCCTACCTCTATCTCTATTATTTATGCGTTGATTATTTTCAATTTGCATAACTGCATTGTCCACATTTGGGTTCAAATTATTTTCTGCTTGTCGAGCAGCATTTCTAACATTTTGTAGTTGATTAATTTCACCTCGTCTAGCTCTATCTCGAGCATTCCTAGGCGATTATTTTCAACTCGCCTAACCACCCTTTCAATGTTTGGGTTCAAGTTATCTTCAACTCGTATACCAGCTCTTCTTACATTTTGTTGACAATAAATTTCATCTTGCCTTAGTTTCTTTCTTTCATTTCGGCGATGATTATTTTCAACACGCCTTATAGCATTGACATTATAAATTTTGTAAATGCAAAACATCATCTAGCCTATCACCCATTTCAATGTCATTGCTTTCATTAAACATATTTATTAAAAAGAAGACAAGTTGATTCAAAATCTTATCCTTTTTTGTACTACTCTAAATTGCACAATAGAATAAAATAATTTAATTAAACTAAAATTTTAAAAATAAATCTTCCTTACAAAATTAAAAGAAAAATTAACAAAACTAATATAAACATTTTCATTTCTAGTAGCTAAAACAATATATCTATAGAGATCAAATATAAAACATATCGATAAAGAGATCAAATAAATAAAAAAAATCTATAAAGAGATATAATAATCAGGATCAAAATCTTTCTCTCACTTTATATATATATATATATATATATATATATATATATATATATATATATATATATACAGTCAGCAAAATTCAGGT